GGGGGGGGGGGGGGTGGAGGTAGAGATGAGGGAGTTGGTGGTGTTTATTGAAGTTGGAGTTGAAATCCAGATTCGGGGATGGGAGGGGAGGGGAGGATAAGGAGGGGTATTGGTAGATATTGTTTCCTTGAGCTGAGAGAGGTAGGTAGATGGGGTATATATAAAGAAGGAGAAAATAAATGGAAAAGAAAAGGAATGAAATGAAATGAAAGAGAAGAGAAGAAAGAGAAAGATCGGACATAGAGTGAACTAGCTCTAGTACGTACATACTTTGCACCTTGAAAGCGAGTAGCTAACCCCCATTTATCAAATGAATATGTAGAACAGAATAGAGAAGTAATCCAATCAGTCCAATCTATACAAGTAAACAAGTAAGCAAATAAGCGACCATTCCTCTCCAGCCAAGAATCCAGCATTTCAACTACTCACCTCCTCACATCTCTTCTCATCTCACTCACCTCCTCACATCTCTTCTCATCTCACTCACCTCCTCACATCTCTTCTCATCTCACTCATCCCCCTCCCTTTCAGCCCTCACTCACAAAAAGATCTGATATTCACACTCCCAACTCCTGACTACCACCCACCAGTGACACTACCCATCTCTCGGCGCACACCTTATCAGCCCCGTAGCGTTGTGCGGCGGACCGCACCAGAAGGAGTTATTTCTGTTTTTAGAGGTCGTCGTTGTGTTTCGGAGGATATTGTAGCCGAGGATGGAGGGGGTAATGAAGCACTGTATATTCAAAGTACATAATTCAGTAAGGAAGGAAGTACATAATTCAGTAAGGAAGGAAGGAAGGAAGGAAGGAAATGGGGGTTTGTATACTGGGATGTGATATATGGATGGGTGTGTGGGATGGGATAGGTGATGTGTATGTGAATATAATATAATATGATAAGTAGAAGTAGCCACTCACACAATAAGTCGCCAACCCATTCGCTTCACACCCCCCATTCCCTTCCGTCCCGTTATTACAGTACCAATCCCAGTTTCCGAAGAAAGCCGATGTGGGGAGGGTGAAGGCGAGGGAGAGCGAGAGGGAGTGGAGGCGCATATTGTGGAACTAATGATCTTTATTGGAATTGGAAATGGAAAGGGGAATGGGAATGGGGAGTGACAATGTTTGATAGTAGATAATGGATGTGGGCGTTGTAAACACAATGGAATAGATAGACTGGGTAGGTATTTAATAAAACCCCCTTCGTCCTTCGTCAGCCTCTCCGTGATGTGAGCGAAGGATTACACAGATACGCAGAGCAAGCAGGGACGAATCAGTTACCAGGTCTCGTATATATACAGTGAAGAACATCGAGAGGAAGAAACAGGGGATAGCTAGCTAGCTAAGCGATCGTATAAAGAAAAGACAAACTGGCACTTGTTTTCTTGACGTTATACAGTGGTACTGTACAAGTATATGTAAAAGATATCCACTGAGTACAGAGGTACGAGGGGAAGAATGAAACAAGGAAGACCTAGCTCCTTGCCTCCTGACGAAAAGATAAATATATTAGATATTGAGTTTTGGTTGGTACGAGGAGATACGAGAGATACAGGGAAATACGAGGAAATAAAGGTGGTGATGTGAAAGGTATAGTAGGAGAGGGAGAGACAGACAGACAGACAGACATACAGAGGAAGAGAGGGAGGTAGAAACAGAGATATAAAAAGAAAAAGAATGATTGGATGGATGAATGATTGAAATAACCACCCATCCCCCATCCGCTCATCCCCTTCAAGACGCCTCCCCCCCATTTGTTCAGCTGGGGAGGTTCCAGCCGGGGTCATGGTAATGCTTAGGACGAGGAGGAAGATAGAATGGAGTTGTTGATGAGAATGGATGGTTAATGAAATATGTCCTAGGTCCGAGAATACCTACAAAGAAAATGGAAATGCAAGTGAACGTGAACGTGAAAGTGCAAGTGGTAGATGGAAACAGAACAGATAAAAGCGTAAGCGTTACAAATACAATAAAATACCAAACTCCTCTAGCTAACTATAACCCGTTCGTCCTTAGCCTGCGTGACGTGGTCCATCTCGTAAGATTACAGGCAGGACGAACTGGCTCTAGCTAGTCTCATATATCAGCGGCTTGGAAATTGAGAGGGGGAAAAGGGAGATAGCTTAGCGAGTGTACGAAGAAAGGACGAACCGCCACTTAGTTCTTGATACTATATAAAGAACATTTGCCGAAGCGGAGGAGGTACTGGGAGAGGAATAAACAAGGAATACCTGGCTAATCCCAAAACAGAAATATGGAAGGTATTAAGTTTTGATACGAGGGATGTACGAAGTGTCAATATAACGGATATAGCAGTATTCCCTCGTCCTCGGTATTATGTGTTACTTATGGAGGTTGGGTATGCTGGGGAGGGGAAAGAGCTCGGAGAGAGAGAGAAATAAGGAAGGGAAAAGAATGAATGAATGAATAAATGATGAAAGCTCCATCTTGGGCGATAGAAATAGATTTCCATTTTCCTTGAGAAGCTCCGAGGGCTGAGAATTGTATGTATATATACCAAGGAGAGAGAAAAGAGAATAAATAACCGAAAGAAAAAGAAAGGACTAGCTAGCTCCAATAGATAATTCAGAAGCGAGGCGAGGAACCCTGATGGACGCGTAGAGCAGAGTAGAGAAGAGTAGAGTAGTGACCCAGTGGATACCAGTAATCCTCTAAAAAAAAGGATTCTAGCATTTCCACCTACAGTAGACACTCACCCACCCATCTCACCACGCCCAACAAACCCCCCTCAAACACTCCTTCCATCCACGCCCAAAAACACAAGCCCAAAAATACAAGCGCTATCCAATCCAACCCGACTCCAACTCCTACTTCAACCTAATCACACACCTAACACTGCCCGTGTTATCATTCCCACACAGGGTCCCAGTTGGACCCTTAGACGAGCTCGTAGAATCGCGCTTCGTGCCGTACCCAGGTTTATCGCTGACGATGTAGCACTATCTCGCTCGCAAGTATGTGTACATCTTGTACTGCACATAGCGAGCACAGAGAGGGAGGGAAGGTAGTGTGCGGGTATGTGATGTGATGTGATGTGATGGGTATAGGTAGGTATTGTACATACACAAACAGTATCCTCTCCTTTAGCCTCACACTCCCCATTCCCAGGCGTCTCATTGTTACACCACCAGTCCTTGATCTGAGCCGAGGCCGTAGTGGCGCTTAGAGCGAGGAGGAAGATATCCGTGAATCTCATTGTGTGTACGAAGAATGAATTTTGTATTTGAATGAACGAGAAATAGAAATGGGAATGCAATGGTAGATCAAACCGGTATAAGCACGATTCTTATACAGAGCCATCGAAAGGAAAACAACAGGGACCACCCAGTTCCTCGCCTATCCCCAAAACACAAACGAAAAATAAGAGCAAGGAGAGTAGGAGATAAAGTTGTCATCCTCCGATACTTCGTCTCAGGTTTATAGCAATTATAACTCTTAAAGTACGGGGTTTTTAATACCCGGTATTCTACTGAAGCCACCTTGGCAAACCTACAATTATCATGCCTGGGACGAAGTATACACCAAAATAAACAAAAAGGTAATATACTGTGATAAATCGTCTCTAAGGAAAATGGGTGGGACAGACCGAGCAGTGGTCCCCCCGAAAATCAAGTTTACCTAGGCCAGTACCGGGTAGGAAATATCAATAATCAAAGGAAAAAAGAAAGAAAGAGAAAAAGAAAAAGGTACCAATAAATCAAATCCCGCACTAAACCCTTCAATCCCAGATCCCAAACACCACTCACTCACTCACTCACGCACAAAATTCAAGTTTCCAGACAAGACAACACAACACAACACAACACAACACAACACAAGACAAGACAAGACAAGACACAAAATCCAGACCCTTTATCTACCTAGCTAGCTCCTCACTTCCTCTCAAAACCACAAAACCACAAAATACAACCCATAAAACCACATAGAAGATACAAAACAAGGAGCGAGCGTATTAGGTAGATAACTTATCACCCTCTCATATATACCAAAAAAAAAATCCAAAATGAAAGAACCAAAAACAAAGCACCAATAAAACAAATACCGCAGAAATCCTTCACCCCAAACATCATACCCTCACAAAGGGCAAAGTGGGGATGGGCGATGCTCAGTGAACTACTGAACAGTTCCGCCTCCCCATCCTCCCCCTTGTGCGGGTTCTGGAAAAGATTTCTCAATAAAAAAAGCAGGAGCAACCAATCTTTGGAAACTTCCACCAGCTTGTATGTATATATGAAAGGAAAAAGGAAAAGAGAGGAAAGGAAAAAAAAGGAAAAAAAGGCCAACTCACTTACAACGCAGTCTTTTGAAATGAAAGTTCCCGCTAAACAAGACCGTCTTAATAAAAACATTCCCGCTCTTTATCTGAAGATATGCCTTTTTTCGCCAATAACGCAAAGGGGGACTGTACAAGGTAAAAGAACCCCTTGAAAAATCCCAGCCCGTCCCATCCCATCCCATCCTGCCAATCTATCCACCCATCCATCAACCAAAGAAGAAAAAATAGACTCCAGTTTCTATCCATCCATTCGTCCATGATCAAAAGAGACCCTCCTTCTAAAGGTATTACCGGTGGATCAAAAGTTTGTTCCCGGGCGCAAAAGACTTCCAATCTATCCATTTCCCTCACAGCCAAATTGTGTGAAATAAAGGGGAAACCGAACGCCTGGCTTTGGATACAATGCAACAGACAAATGAAATCAAAACAAAAGCGAAACGAAAATATGTCGAGATCGGAAAGGTGTCGTCGAGCTGGCTGATCTAAGGAAAAAGATGACCAAGATCCGGGGTCAAACAGTTCCTTGCCCTATCCAGAGTTCAATGTACCAGGAATACTCCAAATACTATAATTAGTTATCCAGTCGAGTTGCGGTGCAAATTGTTGTCAATCCACCCAGTTTCCTGTCAAACTATAGCCCCGTATTCTCGGCTACTACAACCAATAATACAACGTCGAATACGCAAACAAGCACGAATGGAATGATGACCAAAGACCGATGAAGCCAACCCAGATTATCACTTCGATATAACATGCAGGCAAAGCCCATTATAGCGAAGAAAAGACTTGCTACAACACCAGTAAGGACACCAGCATCAACCTCAAGTCTGTAGTGATGTCTTCCTGTTGCAACGAGGATCCCAGCGATAAGCAAAAGGATGAAGGAAGCGGCAAAACTACCAACGCAAGCTTGGTGTAGAAGCATCTCTTTGTTTCTGTTAAGTCTTTGGTCATTGACGCTAGGAAATGTAGCGTAGTGTGCAACATAACCACCAGGGAGATCATTTGAGGATGCGTATGCGTCTTCTTCAACATCTGCATCAAAATTGGAAGGGCTGCGGAGATAATTCTCATTTCGCAAGAGAGAACGTCTTTCGTCTGGTGAGTGACCGCCTGGGGTAAACCATTCCTTCATCTTTTCTACTGGCGCAAGTGCTTTTGATACGACATATTCAAAGGCTTTGGCTCCTGGGAAGGTGGATTCCTCATTTGGATCAATTGATATGAGGTAAGGATCACTTTCCGCCTCGCTTCCATCATCGTACTCATTCCAATATATTTGTGGTTTTGGTTGAATCCGAGGATGAGGATTTGTGCTAGGTCGGCGTGATCCGCCGCTTTGGGGTGTTGCAGGACCGCTTGTGTCAGGTGTTGACGATCGGAGGCTTGATAGGAGTTCGGAGTATTGAGAGTAGAGGGGATCAAGATCAATTCTTGTGAAGCTCTTTGCGCTGTTCAAGATTTCGTAATTGAATCGGTCCTCAGCTATACGCGATCCTGTCCATTTCTTTGCAGATTGATTAGCTTAGCTGACTATGCATGCATGCAGACTGCGTGAGACCCCGCCTACCTTGTACTTTTTCAGAATCTTGTAGAACGCAACTCTCTGCTCCTTAAAGAAGCGTTGAAGTAACCGGATCTCTTCGCCGCATCTGTTTCTTGTTATTACCAACTATTCTTCGCTGCGCAGATATTAACGTACTTTTCTATGCGATCATCGTAGCGTGCGAATTTCTCGCGTCTCTTCTGGGATAATGGCTTGCCGTTGTTATCTGCGCAGCGACCGAGCAATCGGAGGAGATTCTTTTGTGCCGATTCTGCATGTGCGTGTTATTAATAGGTCCAATGTCCTCCTGCTGGTCGGTCATGTACTAACGGAGTCTGCGATCAATTTCATCTGCCTTGCTCTTGACAAAGAGATCAACCCGATCATGTTGGTTTGACAGCTCAATGAAGAACTGCTCCTCAAACTTCTTCAATGCGGTATCAGGATGGCCTGGAATTGCGACAGCTTGTGCAGAATCTCGCTGGGTGTTTGTCTTGATCAAGTGTTTCAATGCGTCGTAGTCCACGTTATCTAGAGGGCGTTAGCTGTGACCGACCGTGACCGACCGTGTCCGACATGGCGCATCGAGATTGAGACTTCTGATCTGGAGGTGGGATGGGATGGGATGACTTACAAGGTGCCCATTGTGGCACTGAGCGCGCTTGAAGATTCTTGCCGTACTTCATTGATCCTCTCGGTGTGCACTAGAGCGCACTGCGCAGTTGAAAAAAAAATGTTGTTGTTCCCAAGATTTGTGCAAAGTACAAGCCAGTTGAGGGCGGTGCGTTGAAGGTGAGGGTGATTCGGTTCAGGGTATGGATGACGTCCTGGGGAAAGCCGACTAGGCGATTGGCGGCGCCTTTTTTGGTTATAGTGGATGTGCAGCGGCGTATGAGCGAAGTGCGAATAGTCCAGTCCGAGGCCCAGAACAACTTGCTGGAGGGGATTAATGGAGGGGCTGGAATTGAAAGGACTCGAATAGAGAGTCGAGATGACTTCAACACTGCGGTGATGTTTTGAAGTGCCCACGAAGTCAAGTGCACGTAATGTCACTCGTATACGTTTGGGATTGGGGTTGGGGTTGGGATTGCAATTGAGATTGCCCAAGAACTGATAAGGCCTGCTGCGGCTGCCTCTGCCTTTGTGGCTTTGCCTCTGCCTCTGCCTCTGCCTCCGCTCTGTACGCTGCGTCTGCTCCCGGACGTCCTCTTGTCCTTAATATGCTCGAGATATGATCATATGCAAAGTACTCCGTAGGTTCGAGTAGGTGTTGCAGTGCTCCGTCCAGTGATCCATAAGTCCATAGGTCCATAGATCAATATGTAGGCCCCTCCCTAATTAACCCCACCCTACAAAAGAGGATCTCTTGCCTGGGCGGCACTTGCGAGACCTGACAGATGCAAGATGCGGCCAATGGTAATAATGATGCAGAGTCAGGAGAAAAGACCCAGAGCGGCCAGTTGGTTTGAGATCGCTACTCGTACACCAACAGATAAGAAGCGGTGACGGATGCAATGCAACACAATTCCTGTCCTTGGATTTGGGTATATGGGTACTGTACTTGTAGTCAAAAGCACCGAGGTGCTTGTACGTATTGACGAATGAAGGAGAGACGAAGGTACGAGATCGCAGACGATGCTTTACATTTCAACACACCAATGAAACTTTGGAAGAGAGAGAAAAGGCATGGGGAAAGGAGTGGGAAGGAAGTTGAAGTGATAATTTGGGAAGGTTCCTCGCTCCCTCTCACGAAACTACCCATGTCCTACAGTATGATAAGGATATGGGTATGGTCCGTCAGGGTGCGTTTTACCTTTCTACTGTGAAGTATAAATGGCTGGGCTAAACCTGTAATCTCCAGGGAACTCGCTTATAATTTGTGAGACTCCGCCTTATTCGCTTCTAGGGCCAACGTTGAAAAGTCAGGACATGAAAACAATGTCGAACTTTTACACCTCCATACCAGAATGTTACAATGAAGGCGGAATGGAGAACTTGGATCTTGTCGGAACCAACATTTTACGCATCCGGTGCGGAACAGGTGGAGAGACGGCATATGCACCGAACCCCACATTGAATCCATGGTATGTCAGCCTTGGTACGCCCTATGAAAAGATGCAATTGCAGAATTGGATGAACCAACCAGGCAACATACCCACGCACAAAAAGAAATTTTCAATTGACAATCCTCACTCCACCGAGACTGGCTCAAGACGGGCCGCAAATGGCAGAAAATGGCGATCATCTGGAGTTGATTGCGAATACCAGGGTATTCCTCAATCCTGATAGGACGTACTCGTATGATAAAAAGCGAAATAAACTCATGAGGGGCAATAATATGACAAAGTAAGAGGGGTAAAGATCTCTCAAGCAGCCCGGAAATTTGACAGCTCGAATTTCTAAAAAAAAAATTAAGCTCGGAGTGCGGAAAACTGAGTTACTTGAATATGGATGAGGAATTTTACACCTATGAATGGTGGGATGCACGCAAGGGTTTTGCTTACATCACAACACTGTAGCTAACTTAACCAGGTTACATTACCAACTACTAAACCGGTACGTACAATGTTCAACAGAACGCTAATGCAACTTCGTTTAGGTAGCCCTGTCCAAGTTAACCTTTATACCACAAGGTCTGGAATTGCGAAGTAATTTCTCAACACTTCGTACCGCGGTTTCCCGAAAGATCTAATCCAGATCTTGCTTCACAAGTTCGATCCAAAGATAATGAGGGTTGGGCAGACAGATACGAAATGTGGTAGTAAAAGGTCATGCAACATTTACATCCGACATTATACATCTACGGACAAGCCTCCGCTTGAGATGCATACAGAATCAGCGAATCCCGTTTTCATATCAGCTCAGAAAAAGCGGGGACTAAACTTCAAAGGATTAGATTTCTCGAGTGACCAGCCGAAAAACACTTCTCGAAAAGGTGCGAACGCACACGACACTCCGCTTGCCCGTAGTGGAGTTGCTCATCGGCATCTCACAGGTTGGTTGCCAAACTCTCCTGAGAATTACACAACAACGTGGACGGTTCCATCGATGTTGTGTTATGTTACTTTCCTATCTCTTACCTCTGAATGCTTCGCAAATTCAAAAGTGGCAAGTGATCACGCGAGTATTGTTCTGGCTTGCATCGGATGGAAATCCCGCTGCGATAGAGTTTGGGTGTTACCCGACACTAGCCTTCCATTTACCCCCACCCCCACCTTTCTAGCTCACGATACGTTCAGATGGAAACGTTTGATTATGATGATATTTTGGTGCCGTCGGTTCACCTAGTTCTGTGGTTGAAGCAACCAGTCCTTGTCCATTGTCTAATTGCTCAGAGAAGAGAAGGCAGGTGCTAGTCTACAACCTCAACACTTCCAGTGACAGGTCACGTGAGTAAACAAAGTGTGAATGCCCAGTTGCTACATGGCTCTAGTGGCAAAAACGTCGGATTTTATTCCCCTTGAAATAGCCTCCTTTTTTACAATCTTATAAAGTTACACAAATTCAATTCCAAGGTGACTAGTCCTTTAAATAAGTGTTCATATATTATGTTTTGTTCTTTACGTTCCCGTAGAGCTAGCTAAGAGATTATCTTTTAGTTATTATAAGTTAGAATAGAATATTTAAATATTCTAAATAATTAGAGATAATTACCTTAACTATTCTAGGGGTTTTTAATAATTCTTTTGGTTAGTCTAAATAACAAGAGTAAAACTCAATGATCTTGATCGAAATAAAGCTACGCGAATAGAGAAAAACTCTCTAGTACTTTTCTTATCTCTTAAACCCTAATAGGATATAATCCGATATATAAATATTACCTTTTAACTACTAAGAGAGCTTAATTTAAACCGAAATAAAGTAGTTACTAAGAAAATAATAAATCGGGCGGTCATTTACTATTAGTTAGTCTATATTACTAGCTAGGATAATATACTTATTAATACGTACTAGTATAGTCTATTACTTAGTATATAAAAGAGTATTTCGCCCGGGATTTATAATAATATTATATATTATTAAAATACTAAGTATTTATCTCCTTCCTTATTAATATTAGCTTAGATAAGTAGTATTTTAAATAGCTAGCCTATAGGCCTACTAAATACTAAACTCGTATATAATTTTAACTCATAATAAGAATTATTACCTATAGATAATTTATATTATCTAAACTATAGCTACTAGGAACATAAGCTTCCTTTGTAGACCGGAACATCTATTTTGCAAGTTATATAGTAGATTCATTCTAGAATTCTAATTTCCATAGTAGAATTATAATAAAATGGAATTTCCAAAGTGGAGGGACTAGTATAAAGAAGAATTCTAGTTGCTGATCACTCTTGATTATTGGAGATATCAAGGGAATAGCACTTGCAGACGACAATGAGGGTATTCGTAAATGTGTATGGGTATAGCAGAGATTAAAGTGCTGGAGGAGGAGGAGTTGCAGAAGTTGATTGCTCTTGCGGAGGATTTGGGGATTAAAGCTAAGCCCTGAAGAGCTTAGTGATGGGAGAAGAGAGGAATGAATATATCCTATTAAGGATCCGAAGGGGCATGTCAAGAGAGAGGGGTTGGGAGAATAAATGCGCAGAAAGAGCTTACTCCATGGGGCATGCCCAATATTGAGGCTAAGAATGAATGGAAGTTGAAATGCAATTTATGAGAAAAGAGAGCTAGGTACAAGGTTGAAGATATATTGGAAAATCCAGGGCTAGCCCCTGGGTAGGTTCAATATTTTCTGAGGCATAAATAGTGGACTCAACTCCCTCGGAATATCCATCAACCAACATTAATCTTACACTTTAAGGTTTCGCCGACACACAGTCTTTCAAGCGAGCATTTGGCGAGACAAGTTTTACACTCCCTTCTAGGGAAGACACACTACTTTACGATGTATACACACGTCTAAGGCTATAGTCCTGTGCTAAAGCTCTTGAATCGAGTCCGGCAGTTTACTTAACTCCCGCTAATAATCAATAATCCAAAACCCGTAACTTCTATGGATATTCTTGTGCCAACCACTCATGTCTTCGAGTCGCCAGCCACCAGGACCTATACATTCTCATTCCCTCCTTTTCAAATGGCGGCCGCAGAAACTCGAATGGATCCCTTTTGTTTGCATCTTCCCACCAAAAGTGTGCTTCCCCCAACACAGGCGCGTATACCCCATTGGAATTCCAATTAATCAATAATGCTTAGTGCATTTGAATCAGCATTGCCATCTTCAAACTTCAAGAAGTGCATGAAAGAGTTTGTGTTTAGCTTACCTAAAGCAAACATTGCATAGCTATCAGCATTGTGAACCGCCCATAATGGACCATATCTCAACTGAGGTAAAATAAGAGTCTCCGACTCGCCGTAGACCAAAATCTCTTCCACCTTGTTTTTATCTTTGACACCTAATTTCTTAGCCATCCATTTCTAGGGAAAATTTAGCCCTAATTTCAAGAACGAGCAGAATTTATCTACCTTTTCCATCGGACCGGCTGCCGATGCGAGTGGGACGTCTAGAATGCTTCCACCCATGAATGCGGCTGTCGTAAATGTCAATCTCCACTTCTCGTATTCCAAAGGAGTGAGCAGAGTTAAAACGTACCTTCATAATCAGTCCCAGGTACTACTGGCCCATACAACTCTCTATCCCCAACAAAATGTGCCAACTCGTGCAGAAGAATTATCTGACTTGTGGAGCGCAAAGCATCTAGTTGGCCTATCCATGAACTACTACCGGGGCCGTAGTAGTAGAGGTCCTCACACTTCGCAAAATTTGGATACAACCTTATGATCGGGACTCCATCTATGACTTGGTATAGTGCATAAACATCATTTCTAGTCGCGGGTGGCTGCGAATCTGCGATAATATGTAATTCGTCACTTTCACCCACGGTTGTAGTTTTGATTTCTGCGATGCGAGAAAAGACATCTACAAGCCTATTAGTTCTACGAAGATGAAGAAGCGGGATAACGAGACGAACCCATAACATGTGGATGATATGCTGGAGACCCGAAAAATGCAATGAATGTGACATCATCATCTTCTACGTTTTCCACAATGTATCTAGACAGGGTAACTATTAGGTCAACCGCATCGGTTATATTTTCTGCTGTTATGACGCCTGATGCTCTTTCAGATGCCATTGGGAAGTCTTTGAACCAGAAATCCCATCTTTTGTCGAGGGGTTTAGAAGATTCGGTGTCGGGAGCTTCGTGGGATCGTGGAATGCCAACTTTCAAAGACAGAGACGTGCGGATCAGGAGGAGGCCTGAGATGACATGGATGAATTGCATTTTAACGAAAGTACAAAGTGATTAAGAAAGAAAGTAACATGCCCTTCAAATGATTTTGTTTTCTGCGCCCTAATCTTTGGCTTCAGGACGTACTTGCTCGGGTCTTTAAAGTGCAAAGTGAGTCAATTTGTGAATTAATTAGTCTTGACTTGAAACAACTGCGTTCAGATTCCAAGCCTCAGCGATGGCTCACGAGTTCGTAGAAATTCCTCTGAAAGCAAAATTAATTGCCTGTTAATTAATCCTCTAATACAAGTAGCTGGGACCACAAGTCCGTACTTTGATTCAATATAAGACTTGATCAAGAACACCAAAAGGTCGACGAGTATGGCTCAGCGCTTCGTTTCATATAGATACAGATATGCGCTTTCTTCAAATCCTTTCAATCTCAATAGGATTCCGGTATCTTGAAAACAGGTAATTAGATAAATACCTATAAGTAGAGAGCATGTCTACGTAAATGAACTTAATACTTGTCTAAGAATACCCTTAAATTAAGAGCCAACTTTAATCAGAGTGGGGCGCTCTCAAGACAGTCTAAGAATATCACCTGTTTATATAGTCCTAATATATTCTATGTTTCTAGAACACTCCTGGGATAGTACTTGGAGCCGTTCCAATGGGGCATCTCCAAAAGTGCACAGGTTGCCCCAGTACATAAAGTACTTACGTCATTAATTCGCAGAGCATTTCGAGTAGAATGTGTGATTATCATTACAATGCGTGCGTATACAATTCCGCAATGACTTCTAAGCGTCGTATTTCTACATGTTGTTAGGGTTGAGTCCATACAAGCACCACCATGCTGAAGGCAATACCCCTGTCATCCCCGAGCAACTATGAAGACAACGAGATCTGGACCCGGGTATAGTATCAGACGGAAAGTCTAAAACATTTAGCTAAGCCCTACCGAAACTGGACGATTTGCCTAGTTTTTTATATCCTACGACTATATATATACTCTGAATGAAAACCGCAATTCTCTTTTACACTCATTGTCAAGTACCCTCTTAATACTTCTACATAAGTGTATTAAGTTAGAAAAATATTTCTAAAAGTAGACCACTCTATACCCTTCTTACTTGATAATTCCATTATCTGGAGATTGGAAGGGATAGGACACAAGGGAATGTTAGGAAATACAACGAGATACTATTGAATATGGTCGGCACCGGATATGCTAAGGATATAACTGAGGATATCCTTATAGTGAGTATCCTTGTATCGAGTTTTTTCTGTATTGGGGATTCCATATTTCTTAGCAATCGATTATGTTGTTTCTACAAGTGCTTATACCGAGTTTTGGTAAAAAGTCCAAAGAGCTCAGACTTTCCGCCTAGCCCTATACTACTAGATATGGCACTACTGACTTATCCTACCTTGGTTGAGCAATGGACGTTGATGATTATTATTACTCTGCCCGCATTTTCTGAGATCGAGATACACGAAAATGAGTTGTCAAAAGTCTTTTGTGGCGTGACTTTAGTCGGTGTATTGTCTACACAAACATTCCGCTCTCAATTCAAGATCCTCTAGCAATTCCAAACCCAATCTTTATCTGCTCTCCCGGGGTCCACCACCTGATCCAAAGCGGTCAAACTTCTTTCCCCCTCTAGGTGTCTGTGTAGGTCACATGAGCCGGAGGTAACTCGTAGAGTAACCTTCAAAGTTTTACCACGACTCAAGGGCCAGTAGCGGTCTGGAAATCCCTCTCCTATCTTTGTCTTTGAAGTCCCCATCCAGGTCATCCCACAGTGTTGCAACCGTATAGTGTGATAATTCTGCATATTCCTGCATATTCCTGCAAGTACTATTTTGCTGCTGTAGAAATATAGCCGGTTCAGTTGTAAGAACACTTATTATCGCCATCATAATTATCACACGCCAAAGTATAAAGTCGGCATATCGCCTTTGTTGAGTAGCCAAGGATGAGAAGCCCGATGGTCGCGGCTTTTGGAGGCATATGATGGAATTGAGGTTGTTTATTGCGCGAGTCTGAGCTTTTTACCGTGATTTGCTAATCGGGGTGGGATAAATTGTTAAAACCCGGGGTATTTGAGTCGTCAAACTCTAGATAGGCCTACTCGTAGACTGTTATCCATTAGAAGTCAACTAGGACAGTCACGTTGTTCGAGGAATCTAGGAAAAAATGGATTCCTAAACCACACTTAGATACATCATTGTGTAATCTAGTATAATCCTCTCGTCTCGATAGTGATTTATCCCTCGTTCCTCGGATCCCCAAAAGAGACCTGAGACTCCTATACTGAGATTGATCATTGTGTGGAATTCAGGAGTCGTTCTGCTCCTTCGCAAATAGCCTGCAGAATTTTAGCTGGAAGTTCAACACTGTAGAAATGTTCTTCTTTTTAAACAATCAACTCCCAGGATCTTCTTTCTTGGCTGGATTGTGAAATTTGTGATCTTTCATATGTGACACACTTTTCTTGAGTTATTATTATGTGGTTACTGAAGTGGATCGTTACTAGCTAATCACCCACAGCATGAAGGTACGAGGTATACACACACTGTTGTTTCTACAAAAATAAAGACAATCTAAGCCTTTCACTTGCTAAGCCATTTCAACTCTGACAAAGTCGATTCACTTCGTCACCAAAGGTGAAAGCCAAAAGGACAATGAACCTTTATTTCCCTTTTCCCTAAAGAAGAAAGAGTTATAAACAATGAGTATTATCTCCAAGTTCTGCACCTTGCTCAATGTCAAGATTACAAGTCAACGTGCTAGTTAATATGGCCAATTATGTCTCATGTTACAATTTTCGCTCAACCTCTATATTTTGGTATACGAACGTTTGTATATGTGCTAATGCTTTTTTTATATTTATCTTTTTTGGGGCAGGGGGTTTATGCTTTTTATATCTTAGTTAGATAAATAATTTCCGAAATAGATTCAGTCGGAACTTATTTATCTAAGGTGATGGGGTTAGTCTCCGAGCCCGTCTTAGAACTCGACTTTGCGCTCGATTTCTGAGGAGGAGCCACAATACTACTACCTGAAGCACCGAATCTTCGAAAGCAGTAGCCGCTTGCAATCGGCCCAGCAGGAGCGGCCATGGTACCTTGTTGAGTAGACTCATAGTTCATAGCATCGGGAGGAGGGGAAGATGCGAGTGCAGAAGAGCTTTATCTCTCTCGAGACTCTTGCAATAGCCTCTCTTGCTCCGCTAGTAGACTCGCGCCTTCGCTTTGCAATCTCTCTATAAAGTGCCCCCGATTCATCCTATGCTTGCTGATTCTTCTTGTTCTTATGGCCTTATCACTTACTCTTCTGGTCTTCATACCGTCGGATGAAGGAAAGGATGAAGTCCTGGCCTTCAAAACCTTGAATGAACCAGAGCGGATCCGATTTTTGCACTGCCCCTGGTGCTGATCTAGGCTGTCCTTTGAAGGCCAGGATTGACCACAGCGTGGACAAACATTTTGTGGTGGTAATACCTGCGGGCGAGAATTCTCGACATGATCGTCATAGGCATCTGGTCCATGGTAAGGTGCTTGACAGTAATGACAATTGATTATGTCAGACTCTTGAAAGCTATCATTCGAACAATCACCAACTTCCATCTCAGCCTCCATATCAGCTAGGCTCTTGAGGTAGTGTTGGTTATTCATTGTGTCTAAGATTTCTGTACAGATAAATGTGCTTGTGTGATAAGTATGCTGAAAAATCTTGTGAAGAGATGATGTTGGGAGGAGGAAAAGGGTTGGATAATCAGCAGATACTTAAGCACTTCTATTGAAATTGTTTTATAGGCTTTATAACATGTATACTGACGTGACTAGCGCGATGCTTAGAGAAAATATCGCTGTTTGAAAAGAGCTTAAAGGAAAAGAAGATTTGTCTACTTTAAGGCTTCTTATTAGGGTTAGCGTGTGCATATTTTACTGGGAAATATTTCATTTTGTTTAATTGAACTTAACTGCTTCAGGACTAGAGGAAAAGATAAACACGCCCTTTGCCGAAGTGGTTCATATGTTTTGAGGTAAGTGGTGTGTCTACAACTCTTCAAGCCTAATCGCTGAATTTGGCTGGCACCCTAGCTTCAATACATATGTCTAATTCCAAACAGTGTTGCTGTTAAGGTTACAGTACGTTAAGCGGAGTTCGGAGACCTGGAAGGCTTTTCTAAATTAGGCTTAGCTTCAAGAGCCAATGAAAGGATATTGGACCACGGCACTACTTGGTTCATTATTGTTGAATCAAAGAACCAACAAAGCAAGATTGACTTTGCTATTTTTGAGCGATTTTAATAATAGCTGTTGTAAAGTTCCTCGTGGTGTGGCTGGGGAGATGAGATTTTCATAGTTCTTGCGGAGGTAGACTATGTAGTCTAAGGATTGGCAATGTGAGACAGCTTGACGGAATGGCGTGCACCTTTGACAGTGAATTCAGGGATTGCATTGCTACTTTGGTATATAGCAGGATTTATAGTGAATGAGGATGAAGGCTTAGTAAGCTATGGTAGGATATATGGGTCCCAATACACTGACGCCCCGGCGTCAGTTTAGAGCTGACTAAGCGCGGGTTTTCACGCCCCCCCACCATCCACGAACACTCTACTTATACCTATAATTAATACATGCTTAACAAAATAATATATAATAAATCCTACAATATATATCGCTCCGAGTCTCGCGCATACTCCTCCTCAAGTCTAGCCCATATATCCCTACTCC